GTTAATAAGCAGCACCTTTCTGTAGCCTTCTTGGTACGATGTTGTTGAAGAATAAAGGAAGTCTAGAGGGAAACACTGAAGATCATTCAATGAGAGCTGCACAGTGACACTTTTACGACAAAAGACTGAATCCGTTGGGTAAACAAAGTATATTACGTCTGTTGAGCTGTTTCTAGTTTGAAGAGCTTGTAACGTGAACTGATAAATCCAACCACTATGAACAGGAGTTCGGTCCAGTTTGAAATCCACAGGATCTGTCTTCATGAAGGCATGCAGCGTTTGGATGACTATACCACAAATAAAAAATGAGCTATGGTTTAGTGATCTCTTCAAGTGGATCAAGGATCAAGGATCAGGTGTGGTTCATGCCGAGATATTTTTGCGATACGAAATATACCTCGTGTAGTCTGATCGTCTGAGTGAGGTTGTTCTGAAAATAGCTGTTCTTGGTGCATGACGTATCGACAACATTAACGGTTTTAAAATTCTGACGATAACTTTTAAAAAACATTAATAAAAGCTTCTAACAGCAACTTTAGGTAAAAACATTTAAAAGCATTGTTGCTATAAAAGCGTCCTGTTACGTGTCTAAACAACAGATACACCTAAATATTCCCTGACACTTTTCTGAAAGTTTCAGAATGTTTCACGACTGTAGCTTGAATGTTATTCAAATAATATAAGAAAAGAGTAACATCACTTAAAGTCCTCCAGCTTCTTCCCCTCCCCACCATTTGGCTAAATAGAGTTAAAGTACGCGAGGAGAAAATAAAAATAATGATTATTAAAAAAAAACACTACGATAGAAAATATGGAAAATATGGAGCTGCCAGCACATGCAATGTACCTATCTGTATGCGCATCTCCAATTTACTGTGTGTTGCAAGTTGAAACTTTTAGACCCCTGAAATTTAATTGTCCTAGCGAACAATGAACTGCTATATCCATAATTTATGCAGCTATAGAGGCATCCCTTAAGCTCTAATCCAATCCCACTTGCACATCAGAGGCCGCTGCGCCCCTGAGAACACAATTTTTGCTATATTTCTTTTCAAGCAAAGAAATTAAGGTCTTTACTCACCTAGCCTTTGACATATACCCTTTGTCAATTTAATGTTGTCGATGGCAATATCGCTTGAATAGGAAAGTCCTCTTACACCTTCAATGACAATCTTAAAATGGAAATAACGTAATCATTTTCAAAACTGATAACTATGCTCGAGAAC